TTGTCGTTTTCATAAAAAACTTAAATAACTAAAGACACGTATTTCGTATTGTTACTTAAAATAAGCGAAAATTCAGTAGTCGGCTATGAAATTGTACGTCAAACTTGACAAATAGGTTATAAAGTTATTTGACGACAAGATTTTATAACCTATTTGTCAAGTTTGACGTACAATTTCACAGCCGACTACTGAATTTTCGATGATTTTAAGTAGCATTAACGAAATTCGTGTCTAGTTATTTGAGTTTTTTATGAAAACGACAATGTTTTTTAAAAAATAATAAGAGTAGAAAAAGTTTTAGAATTAAATTCCACATGAAATCAGGTAATAATGTGTTAAATCCACCAAAAGGTTAAAGAAATCTGTCAAAATGTAGGGCACCGTCACCCGCAATCAACCCTTTCAAATGCCTCAATTGGTCTCAACTTGCTATCAATTAATACCCTCGGTACACTCATAACGTATACCAAATTTGGTTTTTCTAACTTTATGTATTAGGAAGATATACAATGTTTTAAAAATTTAAGACCCAACTTTGAAGGCCTATAACTTCTCAGGAGTACAACTTAGTATAGAGATAAGTTGTGTTAAATCGTCTTAATTTATTGTCCTCTACATGTCCCTGTTGTGTGTCGGTTCTTATGTGAATCACCCTGTATAGTTTAAATATACATAAAAAACCCTACAGTGCGGATTGCGTCCTTTTTTATACAGATTCTTTCTTGTATAGTAGAAAGTATCGACAGCTCTAAATGCGCCGAATAGAAGACTATAGTTTAAAATGAGTGTTTAAAACTACCAGTATTTTAAAGTACCGTCGGGACACAAAGGGTTAAATAAAAACAATTTTTTCCCCTAACTTTACAGGGCTATAACTTGGATGAAAAGGGGTTTTGAACAAAAAGCTATATGAAAAACAGCCCTTAGTTTTCGTTGAAAAATCACCCCTTGAAATCTTTCGTATCAATTTAGAAACATCCTATATACAGGTGTTTCAGGTTTTTGTAGCAGGACTTTAACAGTCGATAGAGCTTTTAAAATTAACACAACAACTTCATATAAATATAGGTCGGCAAACACTTTGTTTTGGAGATACAGGTGTTCAAATTAAATTTTTAAATTGATTTTAGAAGAATTATAGAATATTTCTTGGTTTTCTTATTTAACACACATACATGGAATGATATGGTAATAGGTATAAGACAAAAACCCTAGGCTCCACCAAATATCTGGCACATAGTACTGCTGGTTCGCCCCTGTGTAGAACTAACACAATACCTAGAGCTAGAATCATTTGGGTTTAGTCGCACGTCTCTAAAGATGGCTATTGTATATTCTAGTTTTATACTTGCACTGTCGCTAGAACTAATATTAAACCTAGAAACATTCGGGTTTAGCTGTGCGTCTCTTAAGAGGGCTAAACCAAAATGTTTATACATCTAGGTGGTAGTTCAATAAAAATATACAACAATCTAGCGCTGAATAACATGTTCATTATGTCTTAGAGGATACTAAGGAGTACGCAGGACAATACTGAGATGTTTGGGACAATATGGTTATCTACAGAATCTAAATGAGCTACAAAAAAAGTTATTTATGAGGGGTTTATCACCACATTACAAAAATGTTTGTACGAAAAGTATTTTATTTAAGACACAAAAAACAATAATAAAGATGGTCTTAAACTTAAAAAAAAAAGCTATCCCTTGACTTATTTTTTACATAATAAAACCATCTGGAGGTTTAATAAAAACCTGATAATAATCGATAATGCATACAAGAGTAGATGGAATCATAAACAAAAATAATAATGGCGCTTAAACTATCATCATCTTACATTTTTTTTAATTAAAAAAGAAAACAGCATTTTTTTAGTTTACATTAGTAACTTTGTTCATTATCAAGACATCAAATCTAAAATCAATAGGATCCTCTTTTGTTAAATGAATCAATTATGGTAAGTTTTTAGTTTAGTTTTGAAATGTCATGTGTCTACAGCTAAATTTGCCGTTTTATTTAATTGCGTTCGGCGGCACAAAACTAAAGGCCCCTTTCATATTTTAACATCTAACTAACTTTTACACAGAAAAACTTTATTAATTATTATTTCCTTTTATTTTAATTATCATTATGATTTTAGCATCCAGCTAATTTGGGATATTTTTTATAATTAGATTTATGATTATAAGCAATATTAAAATTAAACAAAACAAAAATGTAGTGTTTATTCTACATCTTTAAAAGGGGAAGTATTGAAAGTGAAAGATTTTACCTAAAACAAAAAAAAACTAAATAAATTAACGTCATGGTAGAATATGCGAGCAAAGTGCTGCTTATTTTTAAATCTCTTTTACGTTTTCATCAATTTTTTAAGCAGATTGTTCCTGTCCGTTACTCTCCTGGGATTTCATCACATCTGGTAGATCAGGTGGGGCTGAATATGGCGTCAATTCCAAATGCTCGTAAGGTCCATCATCATCGCGAACCGCCAAACCAATCGTAGCCGGACTCTGAGCTTTTGCAGTCGTTGAAGTTAACCCGTACTCTTGTAACATCTTATCATCCTCCATTACAACATTATCTTTATTATAAAGTTGTTGATTTTTTGTAGCAACCTTTAAAATGCCTTTAAAAAAATGTAAAAGTGACATAACCTCACATTAAAAAAATTGTCTTAATATTAATGATTACCTTCAATGATACGTTTCAGTTCTAATACAGTCGTTGTGTCCTTGGCGTCCGTGAATATGGTGAGCTTTTTTCTTCGGATCATTAAGAAAACATCCTAAAGGAACGAAAAAATTGAAATTGAGGTTATGTTTTAGTACGGGAGGAAACTTAAAGAAAGTTTTCGACAAAAAAATAAATAAAGATGATTTTTTGGCGATTTCTTACCATTTTTGTAGCTTCTTTATTCGCTTGGGTTAGATTTTAGTGATTACTTAATACCTTTCGTAAAATTCTAACATGATAATGAAAAATTGGAGTGTTGTGTTTGGTTACTTTACGTCAGATATGTCAATTAAGGTTTCGATTTTGTTCACTAGATGGATGCTATTTTTTTAATTAATTTTACTATTTTGTTATTATTTTATGATATAAAATGATTTTTTTATTGTTAAATATATTTGAATAAATTATTGAGTAAATTAAAGAATAAATTGTTACATTTTAAAAATATTTTTGATTTGGTGAGATTAATTAATTGATGTTTTGAACGAGAGATGGTACTAATTTAATTATTTTTTGAGGCGAACTAAAATTTAAATCATTTTAATTTAATTTAGGATATTAATATTATAATCAATTACCATCAATAAATTTAGTTTTAAATTAAATATTGGGTTGGATTATAAATTACTTCAAGAGGAAATTAATAACAATAGATGGCGCTGTTTAAAATTTGAATTTTAAATTAATAAATTTCAAATAAATTGTTAATTCAATCAGAAGGAGTTATATTACAAAATAATTATTAATTATCTTTAAAAGAATGAATGAAATAAATGAAATTAGGGAGTTAATCGAATTTTACCATTTCCTTTAAGATCTTGTTTATTTCAATCCTTTCAAAGACACCCCATAGATTCACCCTAAAAGGAAAGGGGTATATAAAGGCGTTTTCCTCAGATAACAAATCAGTCTCCAACAAGAACTTTTCTTTAAGTTGTTACCGATAAAAACATTAAATATTTATTCTGACATTAAGAGGTGAGATTCTTTTCTAAACTAATAGTTGTAAATAGATAATATGTAGTTTTCGATTCATTCATTTCGATAATATCGGAAAGCGATAACTTCGCATTGGCAATGACCCTGCCCGATCCAAAACGTGTTTAACACGATTTAAATGTTAATGAAAAGAAAGACAAAAATTGCTTTGCGTTCACTTCGCGGTTTTATTATTTGCAATTTAGTTGACCCAGGATTTTATCTCAGTTATTAAGATTTTGACGCAAATTCGAACCAGAAAAACGATTTCTTAGTAGTTTTAACAAAGTCGTTAACCAAAAGGATGAAAAAAAGATTTAATAGTTTTAAGATGAGGAAATTTAGCTTTATCTTCCTTAAATTATATTTAGTTTGTTTAAATTTGACTTTGCGAACAGTCTTTGATATTAATTTAAGTACTTTGTTGAATAAAAAAGCTATAAGGTAAATATTAATTTTTAATTTGACCTTTTAAGAATGTATTTGTAACAAAGTTGCAATATTTATGATCTACAATTAAAATCCTTTAAAATGAACCCAAACACGATTGTTTATCTTTAAAAATACGGGAGATATGATTACTTCCGGTTATCAACTTCCGGTTATATTTTTTAATCGTATCTTCCTTAATATTTAAGATAAACTAGTCGTGTTTGGGTTTGTTTTAAAGGATTTTTAATTTTCTACAAGATAATGGATGTTAAATTGTTTTTTTAATGAAGATTAAAGCTTCAATTTTGGATTTTTCATATTTTTTCTTCTCAATTTCTCGTTGAGAGATTGAGACACGGATTTCCGTGGTCTGCAGATCCGGGTTTTGCAGACCTTGATTTATAAGTAATTTTAATTTTTGAAAATAAAAAAAATTAAAAAGGAATAGAAAGAGGAAAAGAACCGACGTCGTTGTGATTTTGTAGTGGGAAAACTTCTTGACTTCCTATGTGAAGGTAAAACCGGGTGGACTTCTAATGTTTTTTGCTTTGTTTATTGGTTCGTTGAAAAGTCAGGCCGGACACGGTTTGGACTCTCAGTACGGCCCTGCATACAAAAGATAAAACATCAAAAAAATTACAAAAATAAAGATTTATTTCAAAAAAATTAAAAGAAGAGTTTTTTTAACATTTTCTTACTTTTAATTTGTAGAAATGGCGTCAAACAAGATTATTTTTGGATTATTCTTCTTGGTTTTAATCAGTTTTGATTCAGTTTATTCGAACACATTGGGTGAGTTCTCATTTAATACACCTTCATTTTTCAATTATTAAGAAATTCTTTATTATATAACCTAAAACTCTTGAAATATCATAAGAAGACTTTTACTTTTTCTTTTAACCTACTTCTTTTTTAAAAAAATATGAGTTTCTTTAACACTTTAATAAGTTTTTACGTTAAAATTTTACATTTTGGTCGTGAAATAATTTTTGTTGTTTCAAAATGAAGCAATTAAAACTCATTAATATGCTTGTAATGAACTTAATTGTTTATTTTTTTCGATTTCTTTATTTTTAATCCGGAAGGTCAATTTCGATTACTTTGTTTCTGGGAAGTACAAAACGTTTCTTGAATATATTTCTTGTGCAACCGACCTTCATTCATAAAAATAAGTGTCAATAAACTTTATTCTTGTAATAATAACTTTTTTCTATCTTTATTTTTAAGGAATTTGTGTAAAAAATTGTGCACAATGTAAGAGAATGTATGGTCGTTATTTTAATGGAGAAACCTGTGCGAAGATGTGCATCAAGTTCAAAGGAAATTTTATCCCGGATTGTGAAGATATCGGTTCAATTGAACCATTTCTAAATAAAATAGATAACAACAATATTGATTATTAAATAAAACAAATGTTGCATAACAATTATTTATTTAAAAATGTGTACTTAAAACTATTAGTTATCTTTGTTCTGTGATTTTTAGTTTATTGTAAGTTATTGTAATCGAAAGTATTATTAAAATAGTAAAAGCTTTTTCTACAACGACGAAAATAAAAATTAATAAACTTTAAATTTTTTTTCATGATAAACCAATAAATTTAGAACAATAATTTATTAAAATAAAATAAAGTACAGACTTTTAGCTTGAAAATAATGTATCATACATAATTCAAGCTATATCTATTCGTGAGATATCGTAATTTTTATATCACCAGGTTTTTCGAAAATTTGTTTTTAGCCAAAATTTAATCAACTTAAGCATTTTTTTGGTGATAAAGTTGGAACAATAATTTATTAAAATAAAATAAAATACAGACTTTTAGCTTGAAAATAATGTATCGTACATGATTCTAGCCAGATCTATTCGTGAGATGTCGTAAATTTTATATCACGAAAGATTTTTTGATTTTAACTAAAATTTAATCAACTTAGGAATTTATTTCGCATTAAAGCAATAAATTTGGGACAATAATTTATTAAAATAAAATAAAGTACAGACCTTTAGCTTGAAAATAATGTATCATACATAATTCAAGCTATATCTATTCGTGAGATATCGTAATTTTTATATCACCAGGTTTTTTGAAAATTTGTTTTTAGCCAAAATTTAATCAACTTAAGAATTTTTTTCGTGATAAATTTGGAACAATAATTTATTAAAATAAAACAAAGTACAGACTTTTAGCTTGAAAATAATGTATCGTACATGATTCTAGCTATATCTATTCGTGAGATATTGTAAATTTTATATCATCAGGTTTTTTGATTTTAACTAAAATTTAATCAACTTGGGAATTTATTTCGTGTTAAAGCAATAAATTTGTAGCAATAATTTATTAAAATAAACTAAACTGTAGACTCTTAGCTTGAAAATAATAGTATATGATTGTAGTCATATCTATTTGTGAGATATCGTAAATTTAATATCACGACGATTTTTTGATTTTAACTAAAGTTTAATCAACAAAGGAATTTATTTCGTGTCAAACCAATAAATTTGGAACAATAGTTTATTAAAATAAAATAAAGTACAAATTTCTAGCTTGACAATAATGTATCCTACATGATTCTAGCCATATCTATTCGGGAGATATCGTAAGTTTTATATCACGAGAAATTTTTGATTTTAACTAAAATTTAATGGACATAGGAGTTTATTTCGTGTTAAGGCAATAAATTTGGAACAATAATTTATTAAAATAAAATAAACTACAGACTTTTGGCTTGAAAATAATGTATCCTACATGATTCTAGCCATATCTATTTGTGAGATATCTTAAATTTTATATCACGAGGATGTTTTGATTTTAAATAAAATTGATCAATTTAAAAATTTTTTTCGTGATAAACCATTAAATTTAGAACAATAATTTATTAAAATAAAATAAAGTACAAACTTTTAGCTTGAAAATAATGTGTCATACATGATTGTAGTCATATCTACTCCTGAGATATCATAAATTTTCTATCATGAGGATTTTTTGAAAATTTCTTGTTTTTAATCAAAATTTAACCAACTTAAGAATTTTTTTCGTGATAAACCAATAAATTTGGAACAATAATTTATTAAAATAAAATAAAGTGCGTACCTTTAGCTTGAAAATAATATATCACATACGATTCTAGCCATATCTATTCGTGAGATATCCTAAATTTTATATCACCAGGTTTTTTTGAAAATTTCTTGTTTTTAACCAAAATTTAATTAGCTTAACAATTCTTTTCATGTTAAACCAATAAATTTAGAAGAATAATTTATTAAAATAAAATATAGTACAGACTTTTAGCTTGAATATAATATATCATACATGATTGTAGCCATATCTATTCGTGAGATATCGTAAATTTTATATCATCAAGATTTTTTTAAAATTTCCTGTTTTTAAGCAAAATTTAATCAACTTAACAATTTTTTTCGTGATAAACCAATAAATTTGGAGCAATAATTTATTAAAATAAAATAATGTGCGTACCTTTAGCTTGAAAATAATGTATCAGACACTTTTTCCCTTTTTTCTCTCATTGCTAAAATGAATGTCCGTCAAAGAATGTACATATAATTTTTGATGATATTGCTATCATGCATAGAGCACTAAAAGAGGGTTAGATAAATTTCTTTTCACTAATTGTAAGTAAAATTTGTTTGATTAAAATTTATTTATTTTCTTTATAAATAGTAAATTATTTTTATATTTTTTTTAACAATTTATGTTTTATAATTTCCTTTTCTAACTAATATTTAATTTACAGAAATCTTTTTAAAAAAACTCCCAAAGTTCTCGGATTATTACAATCCGGCACCTCTCTTCCATTACTAACAACGCAAGAATCTCCACAAGCTCTTCCTTGAAAGTAAACTCCTAGCATTTGTTTACATTGTACGCAATTCCTACAAAAAAAATTAACACAAAAAATATTTTTTCAAATTTCAAATCCAACTTATATTTTATAACAAAATAAATCCATAAAACTTCGAAAAAAAAATATTTCACTCAAAATAACATTTTAGCCTCTTTTAAATTAAAAGAACATATTTCACATTTTTTTTATAAGTATTTTTCGGTGATTTTCCAATTTTTTTTATTTATATTTTCATTTTTTATTAACTCAAAATTTAACTTTTATTCTTATTTTTCGACTCGTTTTTATTATTACTCTTCCTTCCGTCATCGGAAATTTTCATCCTCAACATTCTCCGATAAATCGACTTAAATTGTTTTCCCATAAAATCTTCTTCGGCCGCAGGTTGGATGTTTTCTTTTCGACCCAAAATCGGTCGTGGCAGATGATTTTTCGAACCCAAAATAGGTCGAGGAGAGCTAGCATTTTCTTCAATTCTCCACACCGATTTTCTTGAATACCTTGAACATTGTGCTTCGTTTTCATGATGGGTTGAATGTTGCAATGTACCAACCACAAAATTATTATTACTATTATTGTTATTGTTGTTAATTATTGTATTTGGAATGGTTTTTAATGGAACGAAGATCGGAGCGTCGGCTCTTAACTTACTCTCCGTTTTTGTTTCTATTTCTGTCTTCATAAGAAATTATTTTTTAACAATTTTTTTTTTAAGAATTGTTTTTTATTTTTATTTGAAAGTTGAGTGACAGATTATTTATGAATTTTTGAATTTTGTTAGTTACCATGGATTAATTTATTTAATAATACAGTAAAACCTCGATATAACGGATTAACACCGGGAAGGGAGTGATCTAATGACAGTGCTAGTTAATGGAAACACTCGGGATTCGGAGCATGTTACAAACAAACTTTTACAACAAAAGTTGTAGAAAATTTTATTCTTAACAATATTGCTCTTTTGAACTTTTGCTCTCAGAAGCATAGATATCGAGAAAAATGTGAAAATATAAAGATTTAATGAATTTTGTTATTTTACTGGTTGTTAATAGTAACACTCGGGGAACAGAGATTATTAAAAAAAACGTTTGGAACAAAAGTTGTAGCCAATTTTATTCTTAACAATATTGTACTCTTGCACTTTTGCTATACTATATCGAGAAAGATCCGAAAATATGAAAATTTGATGAATTTCGTTATTTTACTAGATGTTAATGGTGTAGGACTCGGGAAACGAAGCATGTTATAAAAAAACTTTTAGAACAAAAGTTGTTGCAAATTTTATTCTTAGCAATATTGGTCTCATTCACTTTTGTTCTCAGATGGGTCAATATCGAGAAACATACGAAAATATGAAAATTGGATAAATTTATTGTTATTTTTGGTTGCTAGTGGTAACACTCGGGAAACGGAGCATATTACAAAAAAACTTTTGGAACTGAAGTTGTAGCAAATTTTATTCTTAACAATATCGCTCTCTTGAACTTTTGCTCTCAGAAGCATAGATGTCGAGAAAAATGTGAAAATATAAAAATTTGATAAATTTTGTTATCTTACTGGTTGTTAATGGTAACACTCGGGGAACAGAGCATAACACAAAAAAACTTTTGGAACAAAAGTTGTAGCAAATTCTATTCTTAACAATATTGTTCTCTATCACTTTTGCTCTCAGATGGGTCAATAGCGAGAAAAATATGAAAATATGACAATTGGATGAATTTAGTATTTTTTACTAGTTAATGGTAATATTCGGGAACCGGAGAATGTTATAAAATAACTTTTAGAATAAAAGTTGTAGCAAATTGTATTCTTAGCAATATTGCTCTGTGTCCCTTTTGCTCTCAGATGGGTCAATAGTGAGAAAAATACGAAAATATGACAATTGGATGAATTTATTGTTTTTACTAGTTGTTAATGGTAGTACTCGGGAAACGGAGAATGATATAAAATAACTTTTAAAACAAAAGTTGTAGCAAATTGTATTCTTAGCAATATTGCTCTCTGTCACTTTTGCTCTCAGATGGGTCAATAGCGAGAAAAATACGAAAATATAACAATTGGATGAATTTATTTTTTTTACTGGTTAATGGTAACACTCGAGAAACGGAGAACGTTATAAAATAACTTTTAGAATAAAAGTTGTAGAAAATTTTATTCTTAGCAATATTGCTCTGTTTCACTTTTGCTCTCAGATGGGTCAATATCGAGAAACATACGAAAATATGATAATTAGATGAATTTATTGTTTTTACTAGTTGTTAATGGTAGCACTCGGGAAACGGAGAATGATATAAAATAACTTTTAGAACCAAAGTTGTGGGAAATTGCATTCTTAGCAATATTGCTCTCTGTCACTTTTGCTCTCAGATGAGTCAATAGCGAGAAAAATACGAAAATATAACAATTGGATGAATTTTTTTTTACTAGTTAATGATAACACTTGGGAAACGGATAATGTTATAAAATAACTTTTAGAATGAAAGTTGTAGAAAATTTTAATCTTAGCAATATTGCTCTCTTTCACTTTTGCTCTCAGATGGGTCAATATCGAGAAACATACGAAAATATGACAATTGGATAAATTTATTGTTTTTACTAGTTGTTAATGGTAGCACTCAAGAAACAGAGAATGTTAGAAAATAACTTTTTGAATAAAAGTTGTAGAAAATTTTATTCTTAGCAATATTGCTCTCTTTCACTTTTGCTCTCAGATTTATCAATATCGAGAAACATACGAAAATATGACAATTGGATGAATTTATTGTTTTTACTAGTTGTTAATGGTAGCATACGGGAAACGGAGAATGATATAAAATAAATTTTAGAACAAAAGTTGTAGAAAATTTTATTCTTAGCAATATTGCTCTCTTTCACTTTTGCTCTCAGATGGGTCAATAGCGAGAAAAATACGAAAATATGACAATTGGATGAATTTGTTGTTTTTACTAGATGGTAATGGTAGCACTCGGGAAACGGAGAATGATATAAAATAACTTTTAGAACAAAAGTTGTAGAAAATTTTATTCTTAGCAATATTGCTCTCTTTCACTTTTGCTCTCAGATGGGTCAATATCGAGAAACATACGAAAATATGACAATTGGATGAATTTATTGTTTTTACTAGTTATTAATGGTAGCACTCGAGAAACGAAGAATGTTATAAAATAATGTTTAGAACAAAAGTTGTAGAAAATATTATTCTTAGCAATATTGCTCTCTTTCACTTTTGCTCTCAGATGGGTCAATATCGAGAAACATACGAAAATATGAAAATTAGATGAATTTATTATTATTTTTAGTTGTTAATGGTAGCACTTGGGCAACGGAGCATATTACAAAAGAACTTTTGGAACAACAGTTGTAGCCAATTTTATTTTTAACAATATTGTTCTATTGCACTTTTACTATTAGATGCGTCAATATCCAGAAAAATACGAAAATATGAAAATTTGATGAATTTCGTTATTTTAATAGTTGTTAATGGTAGCACTCGGGAAACGGAGTATGTTATAAAAAAAACTTTTAGAACGAAAGTTGTAGAAAATTTTATTCTTAGCAGTATTGCTCTTTTTCACTTTTGCTCTTAGATGGGTCAATATCAAGAAAAATATGACTATTGACTATATGACTATATCGAAGTTTTATTGTAATTATTTTTCTTACCTTATACAAACTGGAACTGAATCTGCTTCAGTTGTATCGCAACCATAAAAAAGAATAAAAGATAATATCAAAATCACACTGAATATATTCTAGAAAAAAGTTAATATTAGGTTTTAATTTAAAATTTTTAGAATATTCCGAATAATACCATTTCTTTTTGTAACGAATGTTTACTACTTGGCGGAAAAGTATTAAATGAATTTCTTTTAGTGTTATACCGGGGTTTTTATATAGAACAGTAAAACGAAACCCGACTCCCATCTACAAAGGATCTAAAAGAGGTGAGCGTAGGGGGTGAAAAACAGCTCGTTTTGCCGCCTTCAGACCATTATTTCGTAACGACCATAAGGGTTTCCAGTTATTTTTTGTTTGCAAATCGAGTTACTCCATAAATAATAATGGAAAATGAAATAAACATTAAAGAGAAATAGGAAATAATTAGTTTCCGTTTCGATGAAAAAATAATAAAAAGATTACAATAATTTCTTTATTTATGTACAATTCAATACGCGTTTTAATATAAAAAGAAATAGGGTAAATAAATTAATTTTAAAAGAGATAACAACAAAATACTGAAACATTTCCTACATTATTTATCGTAAAAACTAAATTATTATTCTAAACCTAATTATTTATTTCTATTTTTTCATGCTCCGGCGTGTCATCACAAATTTCGGGTTCAGATTCGCTATCATTTTGATCTAATTGTGAATTTGAAGAGATACTGTTACATCTCCTCCACTTAGCCCGTCGATTTTGAAACCAAGTTTTAACCTATAACAAATTAAAAAAGAAATAATTAAAAATTAACAATCAAAAATAATTTTCTTACCTGTCTATCCGTTAATTTTAAAGAATCCGCAAGAACCCGCCGATCTTCAGGACTCAAATACTTATTAGAATTAAACCTCTTCTCTAAAGTGTCCGTTTGAGATGCTGTAAATCGAACTTGCCCCCCTTTCCTCTTCGAATAATGCGTGTACGGAAGAGGTAAAACAACAGGATGTGGATACATCGACCAAAATCGAGTTCTCGAACAAACATTTGAGAAGGCGCTCACTTAAAAAAAAATTAATTAAACTTATTAATCTTGTTGTTTTTCATAATAACAACTTAATATAGATTAAAGTTAATTTATTAAATTCCATTCCTATTTTAAAATTTATTTTATTTATTTATCCTGTTTCATATCCAATTTAATATCCAGTTGTTGTTATCAACATGAATCAGAATGCTCTCTATTTAATCGATCAAACCATTTAATTCCCGTTAAATCGATAAATAATAAGCTCAATAACACACTCACACCTATTTTTAAGGATTTCATGAACCGTTTCGTTGGTGGAAACGAAAAAAATCGTGCAAATTGTTGCAATAACTCGGTTACGTTTATTTTTTCCTTAATACCATATATTATCGAGGAATTTATTTTCGATTTCGTTTTCTTATTGATAACGAAATATGTATAATACCGTATGGAAACGTTCCGAACTAATCCACATGGGTTTAACGTTTGACATATTGGTAATCTTGTAGACGATGTAACGTCACATATAGGATTAATTGAGGTTTTTCGGTGACACACTCATAAGTAGAAATAGAACACAAATATTTGTAGAGTATTAATGTTACTTTATTTTCCTTTTTGGAAAATATTTTGTTGTATTAGAGCAACCTATTCTCTATTCTTTAATTCGGAGGAGTGTTTTCAAATTGAAGTGCCAACAAGAAGGGTTGCTATTGGTCAGTTTTAAGCAAAAATTCGGGTTTAACCGCACGTCTCTCAGTATGGCTAAACCCGAATGATTTAGTTTTAGGTCTTGTGTTAGTTTTAGTGATAGTGCTAGTGTAAAACTAGAAGTAACACTAGACTTAGAACTAGAAAATATCGGGTTTAGCCGTGTGGCTTCAGAAACTTTCTAGCTCTAGATCTAGTGTTTGTTCTAGTTTTAGTTCAATAAAGATTAGTAATGTCTTATGCTAACTAGCGCTACTTACCACTGCCACTAGAACTAACACTAGACCGACAACCAGAAACATTCGGGTTTAGCCGCACGTCTCTCAAGACGGCTAAACCCGAATGATTCTAGTTCTAGGTCTTGTGTTGGTTCTAGTGATAGTTCTAGTGTAAAACTAGAACTAACACTAGAACGAGAACTAGAAACATTCGGGTTTAGCCGCACGTCTCTCAAGACGGCTAAACCCGAATGATTCTAGTTCTAGGTCTTGTGTTGGTTCTAGTGATAGTGCTAGTATAAACTAGAACTAACACTAGACCTAGAACTAGAAAATATCGGGTTTAGCCGCACGTCTTTCAAGGCGGCTTGAAGAAATGAAACTTTATGAGGTTATAAAGAAACGTTTGAGGTTGGGTTGTACCAAATTTTAAGTCTTCATGATGAAATACTTGATTTAATATGAATTTTTGAATATCATCGATTTAATTTGATGTTTCTTAAAGTCAGGTTAAAGAAAAAATATTTATCTCCAAAACCATAAGGAATTAAGAAATGAAACTTTATGAGGTTAATAAGAAACATTTGAAGTTGGGCTGTACCAAATTTTAAGTCTTTATGATGAAGAATTCATTTGATATGAATCACCAATTTAATTTGACGTTTGTTGAAAGTAAGGTTAAAAAAAGTATTTTTCTCCAAAACAGTTTAGAATTCAGAAATGAAACTTTATGAAGTTATAAAGAAACGTTTGAGGTTGGGTTGTACCAAATTTTAAGTCTTCATGATGAATACTTCATTTAATATGAATTTTTAAATAATATCATCGATTTAATTTGATGTATCTTAAAGTGAGGTTAAAGAAAAAAATATTTTTCTCCAAAACCATAAAGAATTAAGAAATGAAACTTTATGATGTTAGAAAGAAACCCTTGAGGTTGGGGTGTACCAAATTTTAAGTCTTTATGATGAATAATTCATTTGATATGAATTATTAAAAATCATCTATTTAATTTGACGTTTGTTGAAAGTAAGGTTAAAAAAAGTATTTTTCTCCAAAACTGTTTAGAATTTAGAAATGAAACTTTATGAGGTTATAAAGAAACGTTTGAGGTTGGGTTGTACCAAATTTTAAGTCTTCATGATGAATACTTGATTTAATATGAATTTTTAAATATCATCGGTTTAATTTGATGTTTCTTAAAGTCAGGTTAAAGAAAAGAATATTTTTCTTTAAAACAATAAATAATTAAGAAATGAAACTTTATGAGGTTAATAAGAAACGTTTGAAGTTGGGTTGTACCAAATTTTAAGTCTTTATGATGAATAATTCATTTGATATGAATTTTTAAAAATCATCTATTTAATGTGACGTTTGTTGAAAGTAAGGTTAAAAAAAGTATTTTTCTCCAAAACTCTTTAGAATTCAGAAATGAAACTTTATGAGGTTATAAAGAAATATTTGAGGTTGGAGTGTACCAAATTTTAAGCTTTTATGATAAACAATTCATTTGATATGGAGTTTTAAAAATCATCGATTTAATTTGATGTTTCTTAAAGTGTAGTTAAAGAAAAATATATTTTTCTCCAAAACGATTAGGGATTCAGAAATGAAACTTTATGAAGTTATAAAGAAACGTTTGAGGTTGGGATGTACCAACTTTTAAGTCCTTATAATGAATAATTCATTTGATATGAATTTTTGAACATCATCGTTTTAATTTGACATTTGTTGAAGGTAAGGTTAAAAAAAGTATTTTTCTCCAAAACTGTTTAGAATTCAGAAATGAAACTTTATGAGGTTACAAAGAATCCTTTGAGGTTGGGGTGTACCAAATTTTAAGTCTTCCTGATGAATGATTCATTTGGTATGAATTTTTAAAAATAATCTATTCAATTTAACGTTTGTTGAAAGTAAGGTTAAAAAAGTATTTTCCTACAAAACTGTTTAGAATTCAGAAATTAAACTTTATGAGGTTATAAAGAAACGTTTGAGGTTGGGGTGTACCAATTTTAAGTCTTCACGATGAATAACTCATTTGATATGAATTTTTAAAAATCATCTACATATTTAGTTTGACGTTTGTTGAAAGTAAGGTTAAAAAAAGTATTTTTCTCCAAAACTGTTCGGAATTTAGAAATGAAACTTTATGAGTTTATAAAGAAACGTTTGAGGTTGGGGTGTACCAAATTTTAAGTCTTTATGATGAAGAATTCATTTGATATGAATCTTTAAAAATCACCTATTTAATTTGACGTTTCTTGAAAGTAAGGTTAAAAAAAGTATTTTTCTCCAAAACTGTTTAGAATTCAGAAATGAAACTTTATGAGGTTATAAAGAAATCTTTGAAGTTGGGGTGTACCAAATTTTAAGTCTTTATGATGAAGAATTCATTTGATTTGAATTTTTAAAAATCATCTATTTAATTTGACGTTTCTTAAAGTAAGGTTAAAAAAAAAATGTTTTCCTCCAAAACGATTAAGAATTAAGAAATGAAACTTTCTGAGGTTATAAAGAAACGTTTGAACTTGGGCTGTACCAAATTTTAAGCCTTTATGATGAATAATTCATTTGATATGGATTTTTAAAAATCATCGATTTACTTTGATGTTTCTTAAAGTGAAGTTAAAGAAAAATATATTTTTCTCCAATACGATTAGGGATTCAGAAATGAAACTTTATGAGGTTACAAAGAACCCTTTGAGGTTGGGGTGTACCAAATTTTAAGTCTTCCTGATGAATAATTCATTTGGTATGAATTTTTAAAAATAATCTATTCAATTTAACATTTGTTGAAAGTAAGGTTAAAAAAGTATTTTTCTGTTTAGAATTCAGAAATTAAACTTTATGAGGTTATAAAGAAACGTTTGAGGTTGGGGTGTACCAAATTTTAAGCCTTCATGATGAATAATTCATTTGGTATGAATTTTTAAAAATAATGTATTCAATTTAATGTTTGTTGAAAGTAAGGTTAGAAAAAGGATTTTTGTCCAGAACTGTTTAGAATTCAGAAATTAAACTTTATGAGGTTATAAAGAAACGTTTGAGGTTGGGATATAGCAACTTTTAAGTCTTCATGATGAATAATTCATTTGATATGAATTTTTAAAAATCATCTATTTAATTTGACGTTTGTTGAAAGTAAGGTTAAAAAAAGTATTTTTCTCCAAAACTGTTTAGAATTCAGAAATGAAACTTTATGAGGTTATAAAGAAACATTTCAGGTTGAGGTGTGCCAAATTTTAAGTCTTTATAATGAAGAATTCATTTGATATAAATTTTTAAAAATCATCGATTTAATTTATTATATTATATTATGTTAGATATTATATTAGAGAATATTTTGTTAGAATTCTTGCATCAAGTACTGGAATTAACCAAACCCAACCCAATTTTTTTCCTTATAAAGCAGCTTTCTTTACATTTGAAATTGTTGATATAATATTTATATCTTTAATTTTAATTATTTTATGTGGCATTAACTATTTTTATTTTTAATTAAAATAGACTACAAGTTATTAAACAGATTAACCAAGATTAATCCTATACATGTATAGAGTATAAAATCATGATTCTTATTTTTATAAAATTTTATCTGCTTTCATTATCTGGACCAAGGGCTTAACTTTCAACTGCCACTTTCAAAATATCATCGTATAGATTATGGGGTCTTAGAGACTTTTTGGTATTAAGTTCTTTACATTTTTAGACGAATCAATGTCTTCTAACGTTAATCCCAAACGCCTTAATCGTACGTGGTATTATTGGCCAATGTTGTTTTTGTTCCAATGGGATTATTAACATTACGTAACATTAAAATTAAAAAAAATAAATAAATAAATCGTTAATAACACGGATTGAAAAAAATAAGTTGAAGTAGAAATTCATATTTTGACCTAAGCTTTTTCATATATTTGATAAGTCTAAATCTAAAGCTACCCGGTTTCTTATCCGTGAAAATCCAAAAACCCGGTAGCTTTGGGGTTTGGCTCCTGGTAGCTTTGTTGCTACTGGGTTTTATTTTTTTTTTTCGGTTCCTTTGAAAATATAAAAAGCGGGCGACCGTTTTTCGGCGTTTACCCTGGATTAAGGTAGCCCGATTA